GAGAGAGAGAGAGAGAGAGAGAGAGAGAGAGAGAGAGAGAGAGAGAGAGAGAGAGAGAGAGAAGCACTCGGGGAGTGGGATTTGAACTCACAAGCTGCCAAATGCGTTTCTGTGTCTCGGTCGTATTGCTGCTATTGTGATTCGAGCCTACAAATTATAGGTAGGATCTCTTTTTTTTTCGCATTCCCCCCCCAAAAAAAACAGTTATTTACAAAGCAGGGAAACGGACCCGATGTCCCTGACATCCGCTGGGGCGATTGCCGGTCAAAGAACCCAGCATCTACGGCCCAGGGATCTCTGTTTGCCCGGTGTAGATTATTAGGCCCTTTCAAATCAGTCGATCGAGATTTTTCTAGACCAAAAGAAAGAGTCTGAAACGACCAGTAGGGTTTAGGAAAATAGAAGCTTGTCAAAAGTGACTACCCAAAAACAAAAGGGAAAAAAAAAAAAAGAAGTGACTACAGGTACCAGTAAGTAAGTATAGGTCCGTACATCTGGGCCCAAGGCGGGCCCTCCTCCGTGCAAGCACAAATTTGAACCAGCGACCTTGGCCTCAAGAGCCAAGTACCTGAACGCTACAGCCAGGACACGGTGTTCAAAAGTGGGGACCATATCGATTGTGATATCCACCCCACCCCTGCAAGGCTGTAGCATCCAACTCGACACACACCACATGCTACACCACACGGACGCACCACACAGACACGGCGGTTCCTGTCGACACAACACTGTAATCCCCCACTGGTACCTACTAGTCATGATATCCGCCCCACCCCTGCAACGCTGTAGCGTCCAACTTGACCCAACACCACACGTCGCTCCAGTCAGCACACAACACCCCACTGGTACATACCCCTACCCCGCTCACACAAGCAGGTCTTACTTGCCAGCAGGTTCACGGGCGCCTCCACACGATAAATGGTCGTTGTTTCGATACAAACAAAAAGAAAGACAGTAAGCAGAGGCCCGTAGATCCGGGCCCAAGGCGGGCCCTCCTCCATGCAAGCGCCGATTCGAACAGGTGACGTCGGCCTCAAGAGCCAAGTCTCAGCCAGCCTATTCCATCCAGACATTAGGGCTCGCTCCCCTACTCACTACATGCGCAAAAGACAAAAACATTATGGCCGCGGTAGCTTTCCATGTTCGAGCGCAAGATTCATTCTCGTTTTGCACAATTGTTGAGGAGTGGAGCGAGGCCCCTTATTTTTATTTTGTGTTCTGTTGTAGGGTAGGAACTAAGCACTGACGAGCGTCGAGCAGCCTTTCTTTTTTTTTGTTTTCCCCATTGTGTCTCTTCACAGGACGTGAACCACCTCCTTTCCCCAATTTCTCTGTGTAGCCCGTGCACCGCAAGTATGTTGGACAGACTTCCGCTAAGATCAACAAGTGATCCAAGTACAACAATTGTAAAATTTTAATAATAATAAATTAATAATAGCAAAGACAAGTGAATCGAAGTGATAGTATTACCTGGATGAAGTCCAATCTTGCAGGACCATTCTTCTGCATTACTAGAACTGCCATGTAGGACTGTGGCTCCTGGATGCATTATTACAACAAATGCAGACCAAGTGCAGATGCCAAGCAGATGCAAACAGGCAGAATACCATTCCAAAACAAGCATAGAACTGAGAATCAGTACCTCCTCTCTCTCAAGTCCGCATCATGGGGCTGCGCAGTGCAGCACAGGGTGGGGCGAGCCCGGTGCGAGGTGAGAGAATAGGAGGGAATAGGAGGGAATAGGAGGGAATAGGAGGGAATAGGAGGGAATAGGAGGGAATAAGAGGGAATAGGAGAATAGGAGGGAGTAGGAGGGAATAGAGGGGATAGAAACACCCTGCACAAGGAAGCTATGTGTGACTTGACTCCTATTCCCTCACCAAGCTTCAAAGTTGCAGGATGCAGGGCTACAAGTACAGTAAAAGTTAAAAAAAAAAATAATAATATAACTTATAGGGAAGAACAGGAAAGAGAGTGGACAATAGAACCATGATGTGAAGTGAAAAAAAACACAAGTCCTTTTGAGACATACGTCAAAATTGGATGAGGATACCCTTTGAGAAAGGGAGGATTAGGGTGGGTCGGTCCTTTCGGACATCTGTTTAAACTTTAAAGTCTAAAGACTCTAAACTTTAAATTGGAACAATACAGATACAGAGAAGATTAGCACGCCCCCTGCACAAGGAAGAATTGGGAGGCAGAGAAGGAGGGGGGGAGGAGGAGGAGGAGGAGGAGGAGGGGAGCAGTTGAGTCACCTTCATGCACCGACAAAGCATTCTCCCTAGCACAGCGGGATATTCGTTGAAGTCAACCATTAATCTTTGTGTCTCCTGTTCATTAGGAGTGAAACAACAGAACACCAATGGCGGTTTCAACCTTCAAGGCTTCAACCCAATCGAATAATTATTATTTAATAATAATTATAATAAATTTAGAAAAATTAAAATTTTAGTAAACTTAAATGAAATTTAATAATTTACTAGTTTTAATAAATTTATTATTTAATACCATGGTAACCGCGGACCCGGACACCAGACACTTCCGGACTGTCTTCCGGACCAGTGTCTGGACCGGTCCGGACTGTCCGGTGATCCGGACATCACCGGACACCGGACATCACCGGACACCGGACACCGGACAGTCCGGACCGGTCCCCGGGGTGCAAAAATGTCCGGACCCAAGAAAAAAAGAAAAAAAAGAAAAAAAAAAACGGGGGTGGGGGGGAGGTTGGGTGGGAATGTTGGCAGGCACTTACCTGCTTTGCACTCTGTAGTTCAGGCAGCAGAGCACGTGTCTTGCAGCAAATCAACCAGCAGACATGCAGAGTTGCAAACAGTGCAAAGCAGGCACAAGACTAAAGAAACAGAGAATTAAAAAAAAAAAAAAAGTATGATTAACTTCGAACTTTGAACTTTGGATTTAGTAATTTAAGTTCATAACTTCTTAAGTTCATAACTTCATATATAACTTAAAAGTTCGAGCTTTGCAGTTCAATTCAGAACCTCAGAGTCTTCAGACTGGCAGCACTGTCAGTGCTCTCTCTCTCTCTCTCTCTCTCTCTCTCTCTCTCTCTCTCTCTCTCTCTCT